TCTCTCTCTCTCTCTCTCTCTCTCTCTCTCTCTCTCTCTCTCTCTCTCTCTTTCTCTTTCTTTTCAGCATAGCGGTGACACCCTTTCTTCGAACTCACTAGGTCACTCTTGCCTATCCAGACAGACTATTGATTGAGGTTCCTGTCTAGGGGAAAATAGACCCGATGCCTATAGCAGGGGAACCCACCTTCAAAATAACATATTTTTGTCAAAAGAGCGTTAAACTCACGCAAATATCACACCACGAAACGTTGAAAGACAGGCCTGACAAATCAGCTTTGAGAAAACGAGGAATTATGTATACACAGGGACACGCTGGACCATGATAAATCCGGGGGAATAATCGCGGCCATTCCTCTCGCGTCTCCAGGGACGCCGTCTTCTGTGATCGACTGCATGCTCCTGGCGGGCCCTTCCTCCCCTCCTTCCTCCCCCCACCCATCCAGCCAGACACTCGCTCGCGACTGACCCACACAACGCGACAGTTTGCGTCGTGCCGATAAGCTAAGCGTGGAGTTCATTTCCGGTCCAAGACAGATAATTCTGTTCACGCTGCGCCGAGAAGAGCCCCCGGTCGGAAAAGTAGTCCCCTTCCCCACTGCGAGGCGGGGTAACTCCTGCTGGATTCATCGGCTACGTTTCCGGCAAAGAACTTCTATCTGTTAAAAGGTTACGCGTGTCCGTGGTATTACGTACATAGATCCAAGTGCACTATTGGCTCTTTTGCAGTCAAATACATATATTCAGGCCAAAGGCACGGAAGAAGTAAAGGGTATACTGATCACCTTTGCGTGCCTCTATACTCAACGGGAAAATGTTGAAACCCTTATTTCCGTTTCAGACGTCTTGGGAAATTCTTAACACCAAAATATATGCGAACTAATATTAGCCAGATCAGATTTCTCTTCCTTAGATGACTGCCTGTAAGGCTAGCCATACGCCAAAACTAACAATTTATTCTTGTCATTTTACTCCGTCTTGATGCTCAGTGTCATGTCCAAATGACCAGTTTAGATTTCATGAAAGCATCTTTTCTTTATAAAGAAATTCGTAGACAAAACAGATCTTGAATTTGATTATAAGTAAGGGCAGAGCCAATAAAAGTATGGTAAACCAAAACAGTAATAGATGAGGTTCTTTTGCACTTCTGTTTATACCATGCTCCCATCTGCCATAACTTACAGTGTCTCTTTTGGCTTGCATATTCAATAGTTCTTATTTTAATTTTAAAAAGGGATGTTTCGTAATCCAAAAGGAATGTGTTGCAGTCACCTTGCCATTCTGGAAAGGGAATGAAAATACGAAACGACTTGTCACTTTTTTATTTTTAGTTTGCTCCAAGTTTCTAGGAGAGGGTGCTTAAAATATCTTTTTTATGTTGAAAAGTTGTCCGGGGCAGGATTCATCAAGGAAGATTAATTTAATTCTTTGTTTTAAAATGCCCAAGAGGGATTCTTGGTAGAGATGTTGGAACACCACTTCGTATTCGGAAGGTTCTGTGTTCGATCCCAGTTGGATTCCATTGCGAATCTCTTCGCATAGCGTTCAAAACTCTGTGTCGCTGATTAAATCATTTTATGGTCGAACAACAGAACGAAGATGCCATCTATTAAAAAATATATTTCTTTCACAAATTGCATTAAACATGTTTAAAAACAAAACTAATAAAAACCGAATGAAATGAAACCAGAAAACCGTGACCCAACAATATCAGCAAATCCTGATTTAGAATAGAACACAACTTAAACTGGTATGGGGTTACACGATCTGGATGGTCTTTGCATTTACTCTGGACAAATGGAACATCTGCCCCATCTCCATTAATGAAATGGCATTGGGACGGGCATAGCGTATTAGGTTTGCAGATAGTTTGTGGTTTTATGGGTTAAAGATTGCTCTTGGGAAAAACGTAATGGAGGTTGACTCGGGATTTGGGTTACATAGGAAGGGATATGATGTGTGTCAGTGCGCATGTGTGTATGTGAGTGAGGATGTGTGTTAGTGGCTGTGTTTGTGTGTGTATGCGTGCGTGTTTGTATGTGTGTGTGTGTGTGTGTGTGTGTTTGGAGAGAAATAGAGATAAATTGAGAGAGAGAGAGAGAGAGAGAGAGAGAGAGAGAGAGAGAGAGAGAGAGAG